TTATGTCTACAAGCTGAAGAAAGCTCTGTATGGACTAAAACAGGCACCGAGAGCCTGGTATGATGCACTATCTGATTTTCTTGTACAATCAGGCTACTCGAAGGGAAAGATAGATCCAACTCTTTTCATCAAGCGAGAGAACAGTGACATCATGCTGATACAAATCTATGTCGATGACATCATATTCGCCTCGTCCAACCCGAACTTCTGCGAAGAATTCAGCAACTTGATGCGCATTGAGTTTGAAATGAGTATGATGGGAGGGTTGAACTTCTTTCTAGGGCTACAGATCAAGCAATTGCCAGACGGAATTTTCATCAGCCAGTCGAAGTACATCCATGAAATGCTCAAAAGATTCAAGATGGACAGCAAGTCAACCATGAAAACCCCCATGTCTCCCTCACAAAAGCTCGACTCTGACCCTTCCGGGATATCAGTCGATGCTACCAACTATCGGGCGATCATCGGCTCCTTGCTGTACCTGACATCTAGTAGACCGGATATTGTCTTTGCAACCTGTCTGTGCGCTCACTTTCAAGCAAATCCAAAGGAATCACATCTGAATGCAGTAAAGAGAATCCTGAGATACCTGAAAGGAACAGTCAACTTAGGACTTTGGTATCCCAAGGACACGGGTTTTGACCTTGTTGGTTACTCAGACGTTGATTTCGCAGGTTGCAAGTTAGACAGAAAGAGTACATCCGGTGGTGCTCAATTTCTAGGAGAGAAGCTAGTCTGTTGGTCCTCCAAGAAGCAGAACTGCGTGTCAACTTCTACAGCCGAGGCAGAATACGTTGCGGCTGCTAGTTGCTGTTCACAAATCCTATGGATGAGGACACAACTCAGAGACTATGGCTTCTTATTCAACCATATTCCCATCTACAGTGACTCCCAGAGTGCAATCGCCATAACTAGCAACCCCGTTCATCACTCACGCACCAAGCACATCGACCTGCGGTATCACTTCATTAAGGACCATGTGGAGAAGGGAGATGTTGATTTGTACTTTGTTAGCACCGAGCTTCAACTGGCTGACATATTTACTAAGGCATTGGATGAAAAGAGATTCCAGTTCTTAGTATCTAAGTTAGGCATGTTGAATCTCGATCCTATGTAATTGTGTTAACTCCATGGTCTGAATAAAATGAGTGTGTGTGTGGTGTGTGTTGCATGTGTTGAGGGGGAGAAAAGGGAGAAAATAAGAGAGAGAGGAATACTTTGAGGGGGAGAAAAGAAGAAAATCAGAAAAAGAGTGTGTGTGTGTGTGTGAGAAAATCAAAGAAGAAAATCAGAAAAAGAGTGTGTGTGTGTGTGTGTGAGAAAATCAGAAAAGAAAGAAAAAGAGTGTGTGTGTGAGAAAATCAGAAAAGAAAGAAAAAGTGTGTGTGTGTGTGTGTGTTTTTCATTTTTTTTTTCATGCACAATTATTTGAGGGGGAGTTTTGTTTATCTACAAGAGTGCAAGTGCTTTTGGGCCCCATACATTTTAAAACAAAAGGGAAACTGGGCCCAACTCAAACCTTTGGGCCCAGGACATTTTCTCGCAAGGCCCAAACCCAATTTCTCGCATATAAAAGATGACTTCGAGAACTTCTTTTCGCATTATTCACTTTCTCGCATAAGCTTTCTCGAAGTCCAGAGTTCTCGAAGTTTAAATCCTTTTCTCGCAATCTTCTCGAATCAATCTTAAGGTAGAAATCAAGGTTTTTGATCATCAACAACATTGACACAATGATTTTCACACTTCAAAACGAGTTCTCGAATCTCACTCGAGAAAGTTCTCTCGGAGTTGGATCTCGAGAACTATTTTTCTCGAACTTGGAATTTTGGATTCGAAAAGTTTTATTTTTTATCATTATGATTATGATTGTGTGAAATTGCAGGTGGTTCTCGACATATTCTCTGAGTGCGAACTCGAGAAATTCACTTTCTCGATGTTTAGAATTCGAGAACATTTTCTCGATATTTCAAAATTCGAGGTTCGGTTCTCGATGTTAAACCTCGAAAAGCGTCTTTTCGATGTTTAATACCGAGAACCTACTTCTCGACGTTGGAAATACCGAGAAGAGGTTCTCGATACTAAATCTCGAGAAGATAGTTCTCGTGGTTTAAATCTCGAGAAGGACTTTTCGATACTTTCATATCGAGAACCAAGTTCTCGATATTTGAATATCGAGAAGAGCTTCTCGATATTTAAACCTCGAGAACCTACTTCTCAATGTTCAAACCTCGAGAAGTTGGTTCTCGTGGTTTACACTCAGAAATTTTCTCGAGGTCCCACCAATACACACCTGATCTGGAAAATTGCAAAAACAGAACAAAAATAAAATTTTCAAACGAACAATTGTGCTGACCCATTTCTTTCAGTCAATCATGTCAGGAACAGACAGAACAGCACAATCAGGCAATGAACTGTACCCGAAGGAGAACTGGGTCCCAATCTATGACAACAATTTTCAACTGGACCTAAAACTTTTCAAATGTCAGGACCCAGTCATTCTCTCTATTCTACAGAAGCACTACCTCTGGTTTGCATTCAATGAAGCCAAACCGGTGCCAGAGGTATACCTGCAGCAATTCTGGGGCTGCATGCGAACTGAGAGCAAGAAGGATCGGTCCAAAATCATGACCAAATTGGGTGACAAAAGAGTGGTGTTGACACCATCTACAATCCGGGAGATCCTGAAGCTCCCAGTGCACCAAAGCTACGCACCACTCCCCTCCAACGAAGAACTGATAAAGGGGATGAAAGATCTGGGATATGACAGCCCACTGCCATTGCTGTCAAACTTCACAATCTCAAATCTTCCGCACCCATGGAAGAGTCTGTTCGGCCTGGTCAACAAATGCTTGTCTCCTAAGCACGCCGGACACGACAAGTGCAACAAGCAAATTCTGCAAATCTTCCATGGGATTGCCTTTGATATGAACTACGACATGGCCCAGCTCTTCTGGACGGAGCTGATGGATCAAGTGAAGATTAAAGAGAACAACAAAGGAAACACCATCCCCTACGCTCGGTGGCTGGCGCTGATGATCCACAATATGTTGGAAGCCACCCCTTCAATACCAAAGCTTAAGGAGGACAGGCACTTCACCGCCCCAAAGCTCAAGTACTTTCAAAGAGACAGCAACAAGGCTGAAGCACTACCTATCCCGGACTCTCTACTTGACCTTGCAAATCCGAGGGATAAAGCAGTCATCGACTACAAAGAGTCGCTGAAGAGAACGGTCCCTATGGTTCAGCAAAACCCAGCTGGACCTTCCCAGGGGACCAGGCCGAGTGAACGTGAGGGTAAGAAGAAGAGAGCCCCGCCACAGAAACCAGTGGCAACCCGGCCTAATGATGATCAGTCTGCTAACTCTTCCGAGAGGACCCAGACTGCTGAGGGCCACCCTAATGCTGAGGACACTGCCGATGAACCATCAAGCCAGGCCCCTTCTAATAAGGCTGGTGATGAGGCCTCCGATAGCATGGCCAAAGGGAATGAACGAAGAGATGAGGATGATGATGATGCAGATGATGATGATGACATGGAGGGAGTCCTGATCAGCAACAGGAAGAGAGCTGGTAAACAGGCCATTCCGATAGACTCCGACTCCTCATCAGAAGATATTGAGGCTGCACTCACACCCCGACCACTCAAAGGGATCATCATCAGTGAGCAGCGCTCCAAGAAACGCAATGAGAAGCCTGCATCATCACAGCCTAAGAAGAAGCTCCGAAAGAAGAGTGCAGTGGAAGAAGAGCTGGCACTGTACGATGACTGTGACACCTTCGTCACTATAGACCGAACCACGCCCCTAGGAGCAGGAGCTGACCTTGTCAGTTCCCGGGTAGAAGTCGCAGCATCCGGTTCAACTGCGCATGCACAGCCATCTCCCATCCACTCTCCAGTCTCCCAACAGACTGGGGTTTCAATAACTCAAGGGGAACTTACACCGACCTCACTGATTCCTTCCGAATCTGCTGAGAGACTTAGTGGTCAACAGCCCAGGACCACTACCCCCATCCGTTCTATCACATCGAGTCTAGGTGTCACCATTCCTACATTTTCACATTTTTCTAGGACACCTACACTATTCACTGCACATACAGGTGCACTCACCCTGAATGCAACGACCGGAGTGCAAACTATGATGGTCGGAAGCCCTGCTACGCCAACAATGCCTCGATCATTGAACGCAGGCCACACATCAACTATCTTCACTGATGCTGTGACAACAGTTACAACCCCTGTAACTGGTACCATTATCCCCGAAGACATTCTCGTATATCTGAATAGCTTTCTAGAGTCTATCATTAAGCCATGGGTGCATGAAGCAATAACCGCTAGTGCACAAAACTCTGGAAGTACCCCAGTTGTTCAGGATATACCACCCAAACCTCAAACGACACAGCCCCCAACCATTTCCATTCCTATTTCCAAACCTTTAGCCATAGAAAACCAACAACCATCCTCATCAAGGGGAACCCAGGATACAGAACTAGTATTCTCCCCTACAACGACCAAACCCAACCTAACAACTGTACCCTTCGAGGATCTTGTAGCTGAGATCTACGACCGTATACTAGACATGGAAGAAGGCAACCTCACCCCTCTTCAAAAAGCCCTTCTCCATGCTCTAGATACACAGAACACATGCCGTGACAGTCTCCGTGGCGCTAAACGTTCACATGAGGATCCTGATGATTCAGATTCTCATGAGGGGGAGAACAAGCGCCCGCGGATACTTGAGCATGTTGCTTCTACTAGCCAACCCTCAAAGCCAAACCAACCCTCCACCTCTACCAATGAGCAACCCACTACTTCAGCCAGCCATAAATCCCTAGCCACTCTTTCTAGCATGGTCGAGCTAGACATAACATCCCGAGGTGCATCTCCTATAGATGTTAACCAAGGACGGAATGGAAGTCCTGATGATGCTACCACGAGTACATCTTCCTACTCAGGCCATCAGTTAGAACCTAGTTCGAAACTGATGTCAACGGGTAATCCTGAGGATCCCGGTGTTTCACTTTCTCAGCCAAGGGAGGATTGGCCGCATGTAACGAAGTATAGAGGTCTGGTCTCTGCGCAAGAGCATCGTGTTGAGATAATTGAGGATCCCTGCAAGTCTCACCAGGATCCCGATGCTACGCCAGACATATCGCCACAGCAGCAGCAGAATCCCTCCAGCCAACACGATGATCAAACACCCGATGAACTTGAAGAAATTCTTGTTTATGACAAATGGCCCCGCCAGTGGACAGAATGGGATGATCTTAGAGTGGAGGCGGAGCAGTACGAAATGTGTCGAAGTTGGCAGCTCAGAGAGTTTCTCAATAAATATCATGCACAAATGATTGGGCTCGACAATGATGAGATAAAAGAAGGAGAAAAATACAAGGAGCCTAAATCTGTCACGAAACAAAAGACTACTCCGAAACCCCTGGACAGTGTCAGGATTAAGACTCCCTTTCTGGAAGAATTCAAAGAACGAATTTGGCGCACACCTGAGAAGATCAAGACCTACAGAGAGCTCAGGATGCGTGGCATCAATCACCTCAAAGGAAGAGACAGAGGTGGAAACTTGTACATGCTCGGACACAGATCCACAGGAGAACGACGACAAACTTTGAATCATAATCTTGCAACAAGCGGATGTCCAGTACAAACAATCCTGAAAGTAACAGAAGAATACTTGGAGAAGATCAAATTCATGGTCTTTCACCTACAGAGAACTGATGGATAAACATTCACCTGTCAAGAAAATGATTTCTTTCTGTTACATATGGACGACGTCTATCAAATGTTTATGAGATGCAGAGAGCTACCAGTCCATAAAGATAGACTTGCAAAGGAAGGTTTTGAAGCCATAAAAAGGTTCATGATGAGACAAATTCGTTATCATGGAGGTCATGATCTTCAGATGGGCCTGGAAATGAATTATCCCAAAGTGAATCTAACAAAGCCAGACCTTGACAGACCAGGGATAAAAGACTTCCCAGAAGATCACATCTTTGACAACCCAGTCTCGGTCATCTATCTGAATCATGAAGGAAAGAAGCGGCTTTTGTTTGTCAGTGAAATAAACAAATATTGCGATGGGACACTAAAGATCATCAGAAATAGATTGCAATCAAAAAGGGAAGAACTCGTCAAGAAGTCAACAGAAGCTACAAAGGATGAGTTCAGGGAGCTGGAAAGAACAGAAGATGTCCTAAAAGCCATAAAGACACAACTTGAGAACAGAAATTCACTCAGGAGCTATGAGCATGCACTTAATCTCAGAAAGAACTATTACAAAGCTCAGAAGTGAAGAAACCCAGCAAGACGGCACTTGACCACAAAGGGGGAGATTGTTAGAACTTTTATTGTGGGTCAAGTTTGTCTGTTAAGTCTTGTTTAATAAAGTAGACTAGTTATACCGTTTATGGTATTAGATTAGTATTATTATGTAATAAATAAGGTAAAGGGAATAAGGCCCAAAAAGGCCTTGGCCCAACTTCCAAGGTTTATCTAAATCGGTAACCTGTACAGCGCCTATAAATATGCGCCTTGTGTACAGGTACCGTGTGACATCAATCGATCAATACACTTTTAGCCTTACGCTACCCAAATAGTTCTCGATAAACTAGAACAAGAATTTCTCTGTTCTCGATATTGCCTTATCATTATCAGATCTTCTTTTCTTCTGTTTAATCGTTGAATACCATCTAGCTGTGTGTTAGTCTGCATAAACTGGGACCAACATTGGGCTCTGGGGTCCCCCGAGAATTCATGTAGATCTTTCCAAGAGCTTTCCGAAAAGGTATTATACGTGTAAATTGGATCACCGAGTCAAAAGTTATGGTCAAAACAGTGCAGGACATCGAAAAGTTTGAATTTTGAACTTTGAAATTTTTTCGAAATTGGGGTTCTCGAGGTTGAGTTTTCGATGTTGATCCGCGAAAACTTTTTCTCGATGATGAATATCGAGAACTTTTTCTTGATATTGAATGTCCAAAACTTTTCTCGATGTTGAATGTCGAAAACTTCTTTTCGATGTTGAATGTCGAAAACTTCTTCTCGATGATTGAATATCGAAAACGTCTTTTCGATGTTGAATATAAAAAAATTCCTTTTCGATATTCAATATCGAGAAACGTGTTTTCGAGGTTCAAACTGCAAGAAACGTTTTTTCGAACTTCAATCCGCGAGAAACCTGTTTTCGAGATCCAATCCGCGAGAAACCTGTTTTCGAGTATCAATCCGCAAGAACCTGTTTTCGAGCTTCAACCTGCGAGAAACGTGTTTTCGAGCTTCAACCTGCAGGAAAAGTGTTTTCGAGGATTAACTTTGAGAAACTCAAGACTTCGAAAACTTCAGAATTTCAAACCAGTTTAGAACATCGAAAACTTTGAAATTTCTAAGACCTCAGAATATCGAAAACTTTAGAGCTTTGAAAAACCTTCAAAACTTCAAAAACTTCTATAAATTTCGAAAAGCTGAGAATATCGAAAATTCTTTTAAACTTCGAGAAGCTGAGAATAAAAAAAAATCTTTTAAACTATCGAGAAGCTGAGAATATCGAAACTCTTTTAAAGCTTCGAAAAGTTCTGAACAAAGAAAAATATCAAGTTTCAAAAAATCTGAGATTCGAGAAAACCCAAAGTTTGAAAGGTTCTAAGCATCGAGAAACTCCAAAACATCGAAATCTTCAAAACATCGAAAACTTCAGCTTCGAAAATCTGCAACTGCAAAAACAAAAAAAAAATCAGAAATGAAATTGCAGGTTGTTTTCAAACATATTTGGATCCTAATTTTCCAGAAATTTTTGGAAAACGTTGAAAGCAGATCATCAAACCAAAATATTGAAATCTCAATTTTTCGAATAGGCAGTCTTTCTCGAAAAAGGAAGATCCGAAAAACGCAGATGGATTCGATCTATTTCACGCCTCGGCTCTGATACCACATGTTTGTCCCTATTTCTAACAACCATACAACCATAGAAATGAAAGAAGAAGCATATAGATTAAACAGAAATCAGGTACATTGTGTAATGTCCGCTGCTCTCCCTCTAGAGTGAGAGAGAGAGAGAGTAGCTGGAAACTATTCTCTCTATTCTGCCTTTATTCTCTATTCCTTTTATAAGAGATGATGGCTAACTTATGGCTTACAAGAGAGGCTAATGGGCTGATATTGTTCTTGTGGCCCATTTACACATTTAACTAACAACTACACAAATACAAAGGAATCTAACTAGATTTGACACCAGAAAAAGTCTTAATAGATACGAACAATGGGAGACCGAGAATTCCATGATTATGTCATGGTTGTGAACTTAATGCAACCAGAAATTGGCCGAACCTATTTGTTTTTACCATTTGGGATGCCCTAAAGGAAACCTACTCAGATTTGGGGAATGTTGAGCAATTATTTGATATCAAGACACAATTGGGAAAGGCGAAAGAGGGGAGAAGAGTGTAACTCGGTACTACACCAATATCATGACTCTTTGGCAAGAGTATGATCTGTTTTGTGATTTTACATGTCACTGCCCGGAGGATGCTACCCCTATGGAAAAATTGTTGAAAAGGAAAGAGTTTTTAACTTCCTTGTTAGCTTGAACAAAGAACTTGATGAAATTCGTGGGAGACTTCTTGGCCGAGACCCACTTCCAAGTACACAAGAGGTGTTTGCTGAAGTTCGTTGCAAGGAGAGTTGTCGACATGTGATGCTCAGAGATGAATCTAGCTTTACCCACTAAAACATCTTCACTCATGATCTCAAAACCAAATTTCAAGTCCTCGCATCCTTCACAGCAGTCTAATGAGAATCAAGAACGATCAATGTGTGATTTTTGTCACAAAAACGGACACATCAAGGCAAAGTGCTGGAAGATTCACGGCAAGCCATCTGATTTCACTCCTTCCAGCCGAGTCTCTCGCAATACCAAAGGAGACTTCCTTGCTGCATCTGGAGATCAATCAAACATATCCAGCGACACCTTCTCCTTCACCAAGGACAACCTAGAACAATTGTTCCAGTCATGGAATACTCATTGGTCTGCTAATACCAACATCAATACTTCAAATGCATCAGTCTCAAATACCTCAGCCTCAAATATCTCAGCCAATCCTTCATCATCTCTGGCACAAAAAGGTATCTTAGCAGCCGCCTTTAGTGTAAGTTTAGAAAAATCCAACCCTTGGATCATTTATTCAGGGGCTACTGATCACATGACTGGGTCCTACATGTTTTCTGATTACTTTCCTTGTTCCGGTAATCAAAAGGTAAAAATCGCAGTTGGTTCCCTATCCACAATTGCTGGAAAAGGTTCTATCACTATATCTCTGTTTATTACCCTAAACAATGTCGTACATGTGCCCAACTTATTATGCAACCTCATGTCAGTCAGTAAACTTGCTCACAGATCTGATTGTGTTGTAAAATTTGTGTCAAATGGTTGTGTGTTTCAGGATCAACGCTTTGGGAAGACGATTGGTAGTGCAAGAGAAAGTGGTGGACTTTACTATCTTGCTACAGACATCTTCTAGAGTAAACAAGTTCAGAAACCACGTTCTTCTAGTTTTTTTTATCCTTAGAGAATGAAATAATGTTATGGCACTATTGACTAGGCCATCCAAGCTTTGGTTATTTACTCCATGTCTTTCCTATTTTTTTAAAATAAGGATGTTAATTCATTTCAATGTGAGATTTGTCAAATTACTAAACATAAACGTTCGGTTTATCCTTTTTTGCCTTATATGTCATCTAAACCTTTCTTATTCATAATGACATATGGGGACCGTCTAGGATTAAAAATCTTTTTGGCACTAGATGGCTCGTGACCTTTATTGATGATCACACTAGAAACTAGACACACTTGGATTTATCTTCTTAAAGAAAAATAAAAGATTGCATAAACTTTCAAAAGTTTTAACTCTATGATTAAAACACAATTTTGGGGCTCAATTCCAAGTCCTTAGAACATATAAAGGTAGAGAATATTTGAATTGCATTCTGTGTTCATTTCTCGCAGCCCAAGGCATTCCCCATCACAGTTCTTGTGTTATTACACCTCAACAAAATGGAGCTGCCGAGAGAAGAAATAGGCATCTACTAGAGGTTGCTGAACTCTTATGTTTTCTGTAAATGTTCCAAAACATTTTTTGAGAGAAGCTATACTTCATGCTGCATACCTAATTAATAGGATGCCTAACAATGTGCTAAACTATCAAGCCCCTTTGAAAACTTTCCAACTATCATATCCTCTTAACAAAATTTTCACTGGTTTATCACCTAAAGTATTTGGCTGCACTAGTTTTGTCCACACTCATGATCTTAACAAAAATAAACTTGATTCGAGGGCAATAAAGTGTATATTTTTAGGTGTTTCACCAACTCAAAAAGGATAGAAATATTATGACCCAAGCTCGTTAAAAATATCAGTTAGTATGGATGTCACATTTTTTTAAAACGAACCATTTTTTGATCAAACTTCTCTTCAGGGGAGAAAGAAATAGGAGACCAATTTTGGGAAAATATTGTGTTACTGGTTCCTTTTATAAATTATGATTGAAGGACATTTGACATTGAACCTGCCAAACCTATTATTTATACACCTCATAAAGGATCTGAAATAATAAATAATGTGGATCCCACATCTGAACTACATGTTTACTTGAGAAGAAAAAAGAAGCAAGGTATTGATTCATTACCAACTCAAGCCGATCTACAAACACATGGTGGAAGGGAAAATTGTCATCTTAATTGTGTACGCAGATGATATTATAATGACAGGAGATGAAGAAGAAGGACTGGAGAAACTGAAACTATTTCTATCTAGGCAATTTGAAATTAAAGATTTGGGAAACCTCAAATTCTTTCTCGGGATTGAAGTAGCTAGATCAAAGAAGGGAATTGCTCTGTGTCAACGAAAGTATGTGCTCGATTTACTCAAATAAACATGTCTCCTTGGATGTAAAACTGCTTCCACTCCTATTGAACCTAACCATATGTCAGGAAGGTCTGAGGATGGAGTTGCTGTTGATAAGACTCAGTATCAAAAGTTAGTGGGAAACTCATCTATGTAGCTCACACACGCCCTTATATAGCCTTTGCAGTGAGTTTAGTCAGTCAATTTATGTGTAATCCGGCTGAAGAGCATCTGAAAGTTGTTTACAGAATCCTACACTATCTCAATGGAAGTCCCGGTAAGGGTATTTTATTCAGAAAAAAACACAGTAGGAAAATTGAGGTCTTCACAGACGCAGATTATGCAGGGGCTACGAACGATCTGAGATCTACATCAGCCTATTGTTCTTTCATTTGGGAAAACTTAGTAATCCGGAGAAGTAAAAAAACAACATGTGATGTCAAGAAGTAGTGCGAAAGCTGAGTATAGAGCAATGACACACGAAATCTGTGAAGCTATTTGGCTAAAAAGCATTCTCAATGAAGTGAAGATGAAGACAGAAATGCCAATGAAGCTTTTTGTGACAAAAAGTTAGCCATCAGTATTGCTCACAATCCTGTCCAACATGACAGGACCAAACACATGAAAGTTGATCGTCACTTCATCAAATAAAAGCTAGAAAGAGGACAAATTTGTATACCTTACGTTCCCATATCAGAGCAACTCGCAGACATTTTGACCAAAGGGCTATACAAACAAACATTTGAAGATTTTCTCTAGTCAAGCTTGGTGTGATTGACATTTTTGCCCCAGCTTGGGGGGGGGGGGGGGGGTGTTGGACAGAATCATCTATTTTAGGTTGTTGGCCATAATAATCTATTTTAGGCTCATAGTAATTGTAAATAATTGTAGAATCATCTCCTACCTAGATTAGAATTGTATTTAAGGTAGATAATATTTTTGATATTGTAGATCTTTTTATTCTAGGGAATCAATTAATTCTCAGGATTCACTCTATACCTATTTAAGTTCGGTAAATGAGAAGAAAAATTATTCTGCCTATTTTCTTCTTTTAGAATTACTCCGTACTTTCTAATACTGCTGCAGTCCCGAATGCTTGGGGCATTAGAAGTTGAGGACTTGTGTTGAGATATTAGGCCAATCGGACAATGAACCGACCCAATACCATTAGCCCATACCTCACATTACTTTCCAAATACTCAAAGTAGAACGCTATGCGCTCCCCAATCTGACTGTACGACACTAAAGGAGAGGCTGAAACACACAAACTAGAGGCACAATCATGGTATACGAGGAGCGCCCCCTAATATGGCCGAGCGGCATCGACAAAAACATGAACCAGATGGTAGCCATGCCATGTCCCCCTGCAGATGCTTGACCTGAACGAAGGGTGTACGGTCCTCCCATTTGTGCAAATGCTAATAGGAGACAGGTCGACTCATCTTAGAATAGTAGACAGAAAGAGCACGTAATGCCAAATCATGGGCAGGAATGGACAACCACATGGAAGGAAATGGTTTGACACGTCACCAAGCCAATAACCCCAAACTTAGTATAAATATCTCCTCATAACTCTAAATGGGGTAGCTAAAATAGCATTTACATCTCTCGTATAAAGCAGAAACTTTAAATATTAGTAGAGTTACATAACATAGTGTTCTTAGCAAATCCTTGAGTGTATTATAAGGCTTCTCAGTTAATAAGAATTAGATACACCTTGATATTGCATTTTATATGATATTACTGAACACTCAAATCGACCACCCACCAAAGATATTGTGTTGAAACTTTGAACTAAGAGAATAAACCTCAACAATAGTCATACATATACTTTTAGTGTGAGCAATAAATGAATTGGTTGCAATCCCATGTAAAAGATATTTTTAGAATGGTGCATTAAATGTCATGTGATATTTTATGACAACAATTCAAACATACGTGATAATCAAATCCAAGGCATAATATCTGCTAGCTACTGGCATATTCTCATGGTCCACTAAATGAGCATTGAATGCATTGAATCTGCTTTATTCATGTAATAGATCAAACTATCACGACTCAATCTGATCTGTTTTCCAGCCATATATTTAAGTGAAAATGGGTCTATTTTCCTCTTCCTTTTGAATAGAGAATGATGAGACCCCACAACGTCATTACATCACCATAATAAAACTCCAAAATTGAAAGGACTACATAATATGGAAAAGCGAGGGAGGATCAACTTATGGTCCTCTATATTTTTACCATACTAGATTACTAGGGAAGAGAGTAAAATGAAAGCTAATATGTAAAGATATTCTTTGTGTGCCCTTGGTCTTTTTTGTGCGACGAAACAAAGAAGAAAACTTTTGACTTTGGGTGACTGAAAACCAAGGCGTCAAGTCGGTCAACAATGAATATAAATTAATATTGCGGTAATCCATAGTCTTGTGGTGCTACAGAGTTTTATGTTTGGCAATTATTAATTTTTTTGTCCACTTTAAGTATTATCTACGTAAGTACGTAGTACTTCACTATTTTCCTTAGTAATTTCTATAAAAATATACGATAACAAATAATGAAATATATGGATGGGCATTGAGAAAGAGGTATTGAGCACTTTCTCTTGGATTTGGTGGTCTTTCATTTATATTAATTCGAACTAATTCAATTTTTATTGTGGCCATCCAGAGGCTCTTAACTGGTAATTAATAAGTTTAATTGGGATGACTGAAAAACAAATTATTTGCTGAGACAATTCTTAACTTATTTAATCAATCCATTAATCTTACCCGTTTCATTTCAGACACTTAAGCTACATGAAGCAACAATCGAGTTGTAAGTTAGTTATTTAACTCAATTTTTATTACTTAATCGGTGCATAGATGCATCTTAAGCTTAATGCATAAATCTAGTAATACCAGTTTTTTATACAGAACTTGATGAAAAAGTAAATGACTCTTATTTCAATGTAATGTTTGCCGATTTAAACATTTATCAACGTTTAGGAAAAAGCAAATACATATACTAGTAATAGATTCTCAAATATTGACAATTTTGTTTTTTTCATTTAACATTTCTATCAATCATCTTTTACTAATTATTATTGTTTCGTCCCGAATTGGAACTCCACATTCTCTTAGCATAAAATCGAAAAAAGTGAGACAAAATTTCATATATACTTTTGTACTAAGACAATTTGAATTTCTCCTAAAAGTAAGGGGTTCGCCTTATGTAAAAAAGTTCAAAAACCGAAATGATACTATCAATTTTGGGATAATCCAATAAGAAAACATCAAATTATCAATTCAAGAGTAATTTTTTAAGTTTACGTGTTGAATTATTCAGATAGTACTTAGTATTTGATAACATTGGAATCAGCTGAAATGATTAAATTGTGGGGAAAAAAATATTCAAAATATATTACTATTATAAAGTTGCACAATTCCACCAATTATGTTATGTCAATAAAATATTTTCACCACACTTAACAATTACTAATTACTCCCATCGTACAATCTACTAATTACTCCGTATATTACCGTATAAAGATACGCACGGTTCTAAGATTTTACTAATCTTTGAAGGATAAATACGGGCGGGTCCTGAAGTTAAAAATACAAACTTTTAAATAAAGAAACATTTCTTTGTGAGAGAAAGTAGAAAGAGATTCTGCTTGTAACAGAGATGTACTATTTTGGTTGCTCTCTCCATTTTCATTCCCACACTTCTTTAGCTTTTTTCTAGCCCCACCACCACTATGCTTCCCCTCAGTACCACCTCCATAGTTCACATTTGCTTTTCTCGTTAATGGGTTGCTTCATGTGGGGTTTTGAGCATTTTTATAGCCTTTTTGTTATCTTCACTCACTGGCATCTTGTGTAGCTTAGTGAGTACGAAAAAGAAACGTTCTTTGAGTGATTTCTGGGGTTTGAGATTTTTCTAGAACTTAGGATTTGCTGGTAGAGATTTGGGGGTTCCATTTTTTTCTTTTCATTTTAGCTGAGTAAGGGAACAGGCGGAGAGCAAAGGGAATGGCTGGAGGTGGAGGAGCGGCGGCGCCACCGCCAAAACAGGATGAACAGCCACAGCCACACCCGGTCAGAGATCAGCTGCCTAATGTATCTTACTGCATTACCAGTCCTCCTCCATGGCGTAAGTCTCCAGCGTCTGTCATTTTGCAGAAATTTCATTTTGTTATCATGTTATGCCCTTTCTTTTTTAATCCTTCTTTAGAGCTCATTAATGAGTGTTGTTGTTCTTGTGAAAAATTTCATCTCAAACAAAGTACATTCTATTTTTGGATTAAATAAGTTTTTCTTGGTACTAAGTTCATTTTTGGTATCCTTGTGGAAAACTTAATGTTTCCTGTTTGTGGTTTATTTCGTATTTCTTCTAATGGGTTCCAGATGAAGTCCTCTTCATCTGGTAATGCAAAATTTTTCATCCCAGCTAGTTTTCCCTTTTCACTGGGTTACTCTCTGGCTTAGTGCCAATTTACTGATTTGGGTGAAATGACTGAATTTGCTGAATCTTGGGTATTTACTCTATTCTTAAGGGAGTCAAAGACTGTTTACTGTACTCTTAAGAAGAAGAACCCAAGTAGTTTTGCCAAACAGGGCCTTACAATTTATAAGGAACTAACGTCTCAATGTGGCTGCAGCTGAGGCAATATTACTTGGATTTCAGCACTATATTGTTATGCTTGGGACAACTGTACTCATCCCAACCACCCTGGTTCCTCAAATGGGAGGAGGAAAGGTATGCAATAGATTTAAAGGAAAACTTTATTCATGTTTCATTTGAAAGGATGGAAGTTGTTTTTCATTGTACACAGGAAGAGAAAGCAAAGATGATCCAGACCCTACTTTTTGTTTCTGGTTTGAACACACTCATTCAGTCACTATTCGGCACTCGGTTGCCTGCAGTTATTAGTGGCTCCTATACTTTTGTGCCTGCAACACTTTCAATTGTCTTTGCTGGTCGATACAGTGGAATCATGGACCCTCAAGAGGTCAGAGGACAAGAATCAATGTTGAAAGTTTTTCTTGTGACCATATGGAATAATCTGATATTTTTCCTTTGTTGCTTGAGCAGAAGTTTGAAAGGATAATGCGTGCAATCCAAGGATCACTAATTGTTGCATCGACTCTTCAAATAATCCTTGGTTTCAGTGGCCTTTGGCGAAATGTTGCAAAGTGAGCTACTTGTTTAGACCAAAGTTTTATACTAGATGCCATTGAGTTAGAATATATTTAAAAAAGAAAAGGGAAGGAGAACTTACCAAACATTAAGGCTATGTTTGGATCCCGGAGAATGCCAGCGAATCGAAAAAGTCTTAAAGAATGTGGTGTTATTATGTTTGGATTTACCTTGGAAAATAAAAAAGAAGTATGATTAATGTTATTGAGACATTTATAATATTTATCATTTATAAAATGCAAGCAAATAAAAAAAAATCAAATAGCTTACTGTTTGGGGTTTCCAATTTCAGGCTAATTAGTCCACTTTCTGCTGTCCCTCTGGTAGCTCTATCAGGGTTTGGGCTATATGAACATGGTTTTCCTCTGGTATGGTTTTGGTATTAGTTTCACATGGGAATTCATAAATTGCAAAAAAAGAGTGCAACATTGATTGCATTCATAAACTTAAACATTTATTGATACTCAATTTCTCACTTTCATAACCTTTATTATGTGTACAGGTTGCAAAATGTGTGGAAGTTGGGCTGCCACAGCTAATCTTTCTCATAATCTTTTCACAGGTATCTTCTTTAAGATACACATTAAGGATCTGTTTGGATGGGGGAAAGGCTTCATGGTCGTAAAGATATTAAAGGATTCTCCTTATAAAAAATTCAAGATATAGACTAAGCCATCCAAAGTCCTTCCCTCCAAACAGGCCCTAATCATTTTGTTTCAGGGATTCAGGCCCAATAATGCATTAAGCTTGTATGATTAACACTCTGCATGTTGTATGTATCTTTATTACTATAATGCAGTACATACCCCACCTAATGAAAGGGGATAGACATGTCTTTGACCGGTTTGCTGTTCTATTCTCTGTGGCCATCGTGTGGATTTATGCTCATCTTCTCACAGTCGGAGGAGCATATAAGCATGCCCCACCGAAGACCCAACTCAGCTGCAGAACAGATCGTGCTGGAATAATCAGTGGTTCTGCATGGTAAGTCAACATCAAAAGATTGGCTCAACACAAGGATTTTACTGTTACCATTGTATAATAAGCACAATTTTATGCAATGTCATTTTTGGAAATTTCTGCAGGATAAGAGTTCCTTATCCATTTCAATGGGGATCTCCTATTTTTGATGCAGGAGAAGCATTTGCAATGATGGCAACTTCATTTGTTACTCTGGTTGAGGTGATGAGCTTAGAACATATAAGCTTCAATTCCATTTTTTGTTCTGCTTCATATTTTTAACTGGTAGAAACTGAAACCTTGTTTTTACCTTTGTTTACTCTGTTGACAGTCCACTGGGGCTTTCATTGCTGTCTCCAGATATGCTAGTGCTACCCCGCTTCCACCCTCTGTTCTCAGTCGAGGTGTTGGCTGGCAGGTGAATAAAAATAGTCCTACTGATTTATTTGTTGCAATATAAAACCCTATGAAGCAATGCCTCAGCTAAACCTTGGGTGTCCTAAGGTCATGCCCCGATTTCTTACACAATAACGTATAATGAAAAGTTAAGAGTTTATGGCTTTATGCTCAACTAATATTTGCTTGAAGCTAGGATAGAAAATTCTTGAGTACGGGAATCGACCATCTTGAAGGCTCAACTAACTCTGCCTTAATTACATTTAAATCAGTTAATATTTAAATTTACACGTTTTGAAACTACACTGAATGTTCTATTAAATTGCAAAAACCAATTTTGAAACTGATAAAAATATCAATACACAAATCAGAGATTAAAAAAAAAACTGTGTTGCTCACATGAATAGTAAAATGACAAGTCTTTTAGGGATGAAGGAAGTACCAACTTTTGCATAAAATCCAAAACTAGTATTACTTCTTCATATCTTGATGATAATTATCATATTCCGTGTGATTTGCTATGTTTTTTTATTACTCAATCTCTGTTGCAAATTTGTGTTAGGGAGTAGGCATTCTGTTATCAGGATTATTTGGAACAGGGATTGGGCCATCAGTCTCCATGTAAGATTTTTCTCGATTCCTTTAGAACTGTTATTTATTCTATTTAGTTAAACCGAAGCTTTGCCCTAATAAAAGTGGGAGGTCTCCATTTCTCTGTATAGCGAAAATGCTGGTTTGCTTGCGCTGACTCGTGTTGGAAGCAGAAGGGTTGTGCAAATATCCGCAGGTTTCATGATATTCTTCTCGATACTTGGTGAGTGTTAAATTATAGTAACCATTCACTATATTCTTGGAAGAAGAGGTGGCCCCCCGTGAGACTAGGAAAAAAATATACTACTTCAAAAGTTAAATGTAATACTTTTCAAAAACAAAAATCTGTTTTCTGAAAAGTATTGCGTTCAACTTTTAGAGCGTGGTTGGATCAAGGAAAATGCTTGGTAAAGAAAAAATATGCCAAGCAAAGTTATTTTCGTATGTTTAGACCCTTTAAGTATATCATTTTCATCTCATTCTACCGTGGAACATCTCACTTTCCTTCACTTTGCAACTATAGTTTTTTTTCTCTCCTTGAGAAAATGCCAAGTCAATTGCTTTACACTAATTTCATTCCAGGGAAATTTGGAGCTGTCTTTGCATCTATTCCAGCACCCATCATTGCGGCTTTGTATTGCCTGTTCTTCGCCTATGTGGGTATGTAAAGCAAAGACATCAAGCATTTCCAGTCTTAAAAAATGTACTTGTATGGTTAACAGATCATTAAACACACATGTGCAGGTTCAGCAGGCCTCGGCTTCCTCCAGTTCTGCAATTTAAACAGCTTCAAGACTAAATTCATTATTGGATTCTCAGTTTTCATGGGCTTATCCATACCACAGTACTTCAACGAACACGCTGCAGTAAATGGATATGGTCCTGTACACACAAGAGCACGATGGGTAAGCAAGCTATGGTCAAAATTATCTAGTTTAAAGGAAACTGAACTTATACAATGTGCATTATGTCATGATGTGTCTCGCTTTGCAGTTCAATGATATGCTAAATGTGCCTTTCTCATCGGAACCATTTGTTGCTGGACTGTTGGCATTGTTCCTTGACACCACACTGCATAAGAAAGACAGCACCTCTAAAAAGGACAGAGGCATGGTGTGGTGGTATAAGTTCAGGTCATTCAAAGGCGATACCAGAAACGAAGAGTTCTACTCCTTGCCCTTCAATCTCAACAAGTTCTTCCCATCTGTGTGACAACTTGTTAATTTTCTGGAGAGTAACAGCCGTATCTTTGGTATATTTTTGGAGTCAACTTTATACATTTGCGTAACAATCATATTTTTGTTAATTAGGTTAACTCATACCTCGCTAATCTCATTTGTATTGCCCATTTTGTTTGCTTCGGTTCTTTTCTGAGTTTCTCTCTCTTTCTCTCATCCCCTTATAAAGTTATTATTACTAGTGAAGAATAATTTACTATGGCTACATCCAGTATGATACTATGATGTGATAAAATATAATGAACTACTTAAGGGAATGTATTATTCATTCCACTAACTATGCAGTTGTTTCATGAATTTAACACAATTTTGCTTGTTAGGGAAATTTCTTAAAACGGGGATCTTGCATTTCTTTTCCTTGATTAAGAGTACTATGTTTTCCTCTAAGTAGGAGTACTATGTTTCTTTCCTTAAATAGGAAAAAATATTACTATTCTAAAATATTACTGTTACATGGCATTATTATAACAATGTTAATAATATCAGACATTAGTATAAGAGCATCTTCAATGTTAAAACGTTAATGGTGCATGCGTGTTATGAGAAATAACCGATTAAAAAACGAGAAATAGAATATCTCTCTCCTTATTTGAAGGATCTTACATCATTTTGGTAAGTTTTTCTTCATAATGTCAAGCACAATGTCTAGATGTAGACATTGTGGTTGACATTGCAGACAAAAACTTACCAAAAACACATAAGATCGTGGAAAGATGGAGAGAGAAATGTCATAAAATCAATATTTTGTGTCTATATCTCTCATGTCACATGTGCATCGTGCACATTGTAGCATTGGAGATGCTCTAAAATATCAGTGCCATATTATTGCATTATGGTTCCACTGTTAGGATGCTTCTATTATGTATTCTCTTTAGGAAAGAGAAAGATAAAGAAGGTTTGGCTGGTTTGTTGACTGTTGACTCTCACTTTTGTGGGAGGTTCCAGGTTCAATATTCCATGGAGGGAGTTTGAGCCCGGTTTGTCTGTAGGCCCCCTCCCTTGACCCCCCCCAATGGGGTAAAAAATTAAAAAAAAAAAGTATGGAGTCTAAACTTTATTTTTCTCAAAAACAATTTTTGGGTAATTGCTTATAGAAAATTAAATGAAAGATGGGGTCGATTTTGCAAACAAAACTCATTAAGAGCACTTTTTGCGCTAAACAAGATGGGGAAATTGACTTCACATCTCTTTTTGGACAATATTAGACTTTACACTCTATTTTCATAATTATTAGTGGGGTACCGCATTTCGCTATATATTCATTTAGCTATACATCTCATTCCTTCACAATTTTTGGGCCGATAAAGTAACATGCATTAATGGTTTTGAAAATATGGTGCAAAGTTGTATATTGTCTAAAGGTCAAATTTCCTCATAAAAATGAGGACAACAATTAAGAAATTTGCTCTAAATAGAAGTAAAACACTTTATAATACTAAAGCATAACTTTTATGTTTTTGTTTTCGAAATAAGAGTTGTTACTGATTCGATTGAAAATATTGTCCTTCATGATAGTAAATAATGTCATGTTAATGTCTAGTACTGCAACTATATTGTTAATAATAATAACTTCAAGATGACCGTAAATACTACCATGTTACTATTATTTAAGGAAGAAAAACATATGAGTCATATTTTAAAATTCTCAAACCTATTTACTCCTATTTCGGGGACTTTCTCTAACAATTATTAAGAGATTTTCATGTTAAGGAAAACTTATATACTGTCCACCCTGCACAGCAAAAATATCGGTTGCGATACCGTGAGAGCGGTCCATGGTGAACATCATACTCCCATACTTAAAATAGCATCATTTAGGTTTAAGTTTTATTTAAAAAACGAATGTGAACAGTTCACATGCGTTATGAAAAAAGAAGAAAGAAATGGGGCAAAGAGCATGTATGTGGAATGAAAAATCATCAATTTATCTTGAGGGTCCCGCTTCATTACGGAAAATTTTTGGCCGGTTTAGGGCTGACTGGCGCCGGTTGGTCAGTTCCCGGGCCCGTCAGAAGGGACGGTTGGAAACAGGTGCGAAAATGAACTAAGCCCAATTTTTTTGGACCGGCGCCGGTTTAACACTTACCGGCACCGGGTGGGTCGATTACTGGCCAGATGGTCCTGTTCTTTGTGCGCCGGTGTAATACAGACGCAACCCAGGGGCAGTCCGGCGCTGGTTGGCTAGTGGCCGGTGCCGGTTGATTAAAAACAATGCCCTTGTGCGCCGGTTAGAGAGGGCCGGTCCCAAATAGCCTCTTCCATAATAGGCCCGGCGCCGGTTGGCCGTGGACCGGCGCCGGCTGGGGCTGTTTTTCCGACATGATTTCACTATCTCCGGCGCCGGTTAGGAGAAGTCTGGCGCCGGTTTCCCCTTTTTTTGCACGTTTCATCACTAAAAATCCCCGTTTTGACCCTAGGGTGGTCGGGCCTTAACCCCGATAACATATACAATGTACGTAAGGCTAAAATACCATGTTTTCATGAGATATTACCTCCAATGGAATCCGGGTTTGCTCGAGCATCCACATCCGCCATCACATAGACTCTAGCTTGAGTCTTTCCTTGATTCACGGATGGCGTGTTGCTCGGACTTGCTCCCCCATGTCCCCTGTTTGCTTGAGAAGCCCCGGTTTGGTTTTCGTTGCCTGTAGTCCTACTACTTGACCCTGAAGTTTGGTTTTGTACAAGTTATGGGCAACTCGCATTCGTGTGTCCAATCTCTCTACATCGATAGCACCTAGGAGGGTCTCGACACTTACCCGAGTGGTTCTCCTTACAGTTGTTGCACTTAGGTATCCTCGAACCCTTTGACCTCGAGTTCTGGCCACCCGAGCCTTGACTCCACCGGTCCACCCCAGCGGTAGTGTGTGCACCCTGAAGGTTTTATCGCCTTCATCGTTTGTCCTCCCAGAATGCCCTTGGGAGTTATTGTCTCCCCACTTCCTTTTCCTTACTAATGGTACGCCCTCAGCTTGCGTAGCTTGGCGTTTTTGTATAAGCCTCGCACGTTCATGTTGAAGCCAATCTATGACCATGTGCATTTGTTCAATTGGTGCATTGTCAAGGTCCTCATCACTCAAATCATCCCCTTCGTCACCGAAAGCCTTGGGTAGTTCAATTTTGCCCTTACAAAGTGACTTCTCCTTGGTCTTAACATGACCAACACTCACGATTTGAGCATCCAAAATTTCGTGAACCATTGGTACTAAGGACTCTTCTCGGTTGGCATGCCCGGTTCCACCCGGTGCAAACCCTTTCGAGTTCTTCTCCCTATTCATAATGTCATCATCACCTCCCACCGCTGAAAGAAATATTTAGAATGAGTCATTAGACTCGTTACAAATGTCAACTGACGGATAGGCACTTAAGACATCTCTTGGGCCAAGTCACCGCCATACCAATCGTTAAGGGCGCAATCTTAATAATTAGAGACCTGAGACCTTGCAACTCAAACACCAAAAGTTCTTAAGTACAAAACATTTCTCATGCTCATGGTTTTCAAAATCATTTTGAAAAGAGAATTTTGAGACTTCATTATAAAGTTTATGGACTAAGGCTCTGATACCAACTTAATTGACATGCCTCGGACCTATCTGGACACATCAACAACTCACCGTACAGTACGAATAGTCAACCGCAGTCTAACACGTTCATACTATACAAGGCGTCTGGAAAATCATTCACACATAGTACATCCATAAACAAACATAATGTAACATATTCATTTAAGTAGCGGAAACAATATTACAATTGTTAAAGCCACACTTGGCAAACTTAGCTGGCATACAAGCCCTCAAATAGTTTATTATAAAATATTATCCATGAGCATTATTGTAGCTGTTTTGAAAATAGAACGGAGGAAGCACGGACCAAGTCTTCTCTCCAAGAACTCCCGAAGCAACGGGTACAGGAAGCAAGCTCTAGCTTCTACCTGAAAACTGTGAGGTGGCCTCCCCCGTGAAGGGGAGGTCAGTACTTTGAAGCATTTGAAAAGCACAATGACAACTATACTGCACATAATTAATGTTTCAATTCTTAAGACCCTCGACATAAGGTGATATCATATTTTTAGGAAATAACCCATAGTTACCCCTTTAAAATTATACATAAGTATATAAAGTCAAATAGTCGTCCCATAGGCCCATTTGTATTTTCTACAAACCTTTCCATCGCCACGCAATAATTCGTTACATTTATAATTCATACATCTCAACCCAAAGGTCACATCAATCATACAGGACCTGTCACCGCCATCCAAGTCCCTGTAAGGCACTCGGTCGGAGTCCAGCATCCCGCCCCTGGACTCATACCCTGTTCCCGTAGGAAGGTAAGACCCATTCGGGGGTCCTATCTTAAGTGTTACCGCATTCCAGAGTCTCGTAAGATCTCCGGTTCGGATTCCACTCCTACACGTGATCACGCTGCAAGACCATGCTATCCAACCCCGCTCTCTAGAGTCGGGGGAGGGCCATGATCCTTACTCCTTTACTACAACTTACTCGGGTATCCTCAAGGACTACCGAAAACACCCGTAGGTCAATCCTATACCTAAGATCAATTTACAATTAAGGTTATCTAGAGTAGCCTTTAAGGTCGACTCTTAGTATCACTTAGAATTCGTACAACCCTACTTCATTAATTAAGTTACTTTAATTAAAGTGTCTCTTAAGACTACTTTAAGCCGTAACACAAACCATCCTTAGGATCAATTCTAGCATATTCACATATTAATTTCCCGACTAGTATTTTAATAATAGTCGGATTAATATTAGAACAACCAAGTTCTCCATCTATGGTCATTTAGCCAATTCAAAGTGAATTTCCAATAAAAACCTAATTTATCTCAATACACAAAATATCCCTTTGGTCATTCATACAATCTTCATTATATGAGTTAAAAGGTATATTTCATCAACAAGCTTCATAGTTATCCAATTAGCATGCCATCATACAAATTACACATAATCATACATAATTATTTCTAAATATGTATATCATGCTCCTTTTCTTTATAAAACCAAGTCATCTCATCCTTGGTATTTTTTAATCATTAATAATCCATAAAATCATGATTAAGTACTTTAGGTAATCTCATGAAATCAACTCACTAATTATAAACAATATAGTCGGTCATCCTCACCTCAAATGAGTTTTAAGCTTTTCCCTCTCAATGCAATTCTCAAAGCTTCGGCCAAGGAAGTTTGAGAACTGATTCCTTGCTTAGAAATGAGTGTTAAACAGCCTCTTCAAGGTGCTTGCTCAACTCTTAACTGAAGGTACAAAAACAGCCCCAAGAATGGGTGTTTTCCGGGGAAATCATTCCCTAACTTTTCA